ATCATCTCCATTCTTATTTTTGGTTTGTTTCTCTTGTCATAACTGAGAAAGTTGTGTTAAAATCTCTAAGAATGTTTATTTTTTCTTTTAGTTCTGTCATTTTGCTTTATATGCTTTGAATCTATATTATAAAATCACCTCTCTCTCTTTCTTTTCTTCCCTCCCTCCAATATCTAAGATGAAAGAAAAATTACCATTTACAACCCACATCTCAAGAAATTACTAGAGCATATACTATAAAATTCAATAGAAAATAATATGGAGAATGAAAAGCAGCAGTGATCAACCAAACGATTATTTATTGTATAAAAGAAATCTAAGTATCTTAATGTAAAAATTATATATGATAGCATCCATAAAAAAGTGCATTGTGAAAGGAAAATATATCGTTACATGAATCAGGATAAAGAGAGTAAAGGAGGGTCAAATACAAGGCGACAGAAGGAGACTAGACCTCAGGTGGTGAGTATACAATAGATTATATAGGTGTTATATTATAAAGCTGTATACCTGAAATTTATATAATGTTATTACCTAAATAAATTTAAATTTTAGAAAAAGATATTATCTTTACATGATTAATGTATGGCCATACATTCAGAAGTACTGAAAAAGGAAGATAGAAATAGTATTTTTATCTTTTAAGTATTCATAAATATTCGTGTATTTCTTTAAAGTATTAAAAATTATTACTTGCTTTGAGTTTTCTAATTCTTTTAATTTTTTTAAATTTCTAAATGGTTGAGGAAAAGGAGAAAGTGAGATAGAGTTGTATGTAATGTTTCAGCTTCCATAGATGGGAAACAGGAAAAACAGATTAATTCTTGACCATCTGATTTTTTACTATTTTGTTGTAACCTGTGCCTGTTGATATTATTGTACATTAGTGTCTCTAAGGACACTGCCTCTTCTGCTGCATCTTTCAGGGTTTTTGACTAGGTTCATTAGAAAGGTGGCTCATTAGTGACATTTGAACCTGAATCACCAAGGACCCAGTTGTTTATTATTTAGTTTGAGGTTTAGCAAATAAATCAGATATAAATCTTAATGGTGTAAAAGCCTCTTACTCTATCCAGAGAAGACATCATATCAATGATTTCTAAGCAAGAGAGGGACATAGTCGAACTATATTTTACTTTCAGCCAAGAGGGAGCTAGAAAATATTTCCTAAGCATAAAGCTCTTAGTTTGAAAATCTTCTCAGGGTGTTGGAGATGAAAAAATTTAGAGTCCTAGGCCTTCCCAGAGCACCCATCAGGGTAAGTGGAGTCATAAGCTGAGAGCAAAGTAAATTCCACACAAACATTTTCTAAGAGATCCTCTTTCTCAAATGAGCCCATAGGATGCTGGTTGTTAAAGAATCAACTGAAGCTATTATTAACTCTCAGAAGAGTAAGTACAATAGTCATTTTATATACTTTCATCCTGGGAAAACCTATAGGTTGATTTTTTTCTGAGAAGCTCATTGCACATGATTTACTAAAATCAGATGTAATTAATATTTGAATTATTGTATAAAGATCCACAAGTTTTTCTGAGTTATAATTTTGAATGCTGCTTTTTACAGTTTACATAAAGATTATGTGAATTTATATGCAGAGAAGTTATCTCTGCCACACCCTCACTTTCCTCTTTAAGAGAAAAAAAATGTGTATTTACATTAATATTGCCCAGTATGACAATTTATAACATAATGTTGGCAAAATTAGTTATCCTTATACTTTTTGAAATATAAAAATCTTTGAAAGTTGCAAACTATTTTCTTAAACGTTACCTCTTGAAAACTAGCATTAACGAATGGAATAAATAGAGAATATTTTGGAACAAGTGCTACCACCCTGAGGTTGCAGAAAAGAGCATGTTACCATGTAAAGCTCTAGGAGCCACTGGGTTGAGTAGTAATGGATTAAGGAAGTTAGGAAGGCTGAACAGAGTATCATTCCTTTAAGTTAAAATAATCTATTGGAGTTAATATGTTGTGTCTCTACAGTTCCTAGGAATGTTAGTGTCTTCAAAAAAATCACTATCATCTCTCTTTTCCAATGAAGTGACAGTAAATGCTGAGGTTTAACTATAGTAACTAATCATACAGTGAGAGATGATCCTACTCTAATCTCTGAAGGAACTGACTGTTTTAAAGGAACAAATGACAACCAATCATGCACCAAGTTAAGTGAGTTTTGCTACAGAATTGAAAAGCAAATTGCTTTCTATTTATTTACACAATAGACTCAAATCTGGAATGCCTTCTTAGGGTTTTTAATTAAAAAAAGAGCAGCAAAATAGGTAATAAATGAATCAATCAATCAACCAATCAGTCAATTAAATATGCACTAAAGAAACAAAAATGGTAAGTTTTTTGGAGAAAAGTCTTTATCCGCATAAGACAAAGATGAAAACCTTAAATGTAGACTGAATAGATGAATATTTCATAGTGTCAAGTGTGAAGTGGGACTCAATGGCACCAAAACCTATAGCAAAAAATTGTCAATAATCTTAGAAAAAGGTACGTGATTCATTACAGTCACTGTCACACTGTGACACTGTCAGTGAGTTGAAGAAAAGTATGATACAAAGTTTATAAATCATACCTTGGTGAATGTATACAGAAGTCCTAAATTACTATCTTTGTTTTCCTTAAGATTTTGTTTTCCAGAATTATTATGAAATTATTCAATAATGTTTATAAAAAGATGCTTTTGCAGACATTGTAACAATCGTAGAAAACAGATACATAAACGTGTGTTGGAAATTGACTTAAAACTTGTGGTACATTCATAAAACTATTTCAACATAGGTGAAATTTTGAAATAATAAGAACTTACAAATATAAAGAGGGATTTAGAAACTGGACTTACACAAATACAGTGAATTGAAATTAAGTAGAATTAAATTAAGTGTGTTTATCTTATAGAGATGTAAAATATTAATATGTTTTAAGATGAATAGCATGTGAAAAAATTATATATTTAGATATGCAAATTCCATCACCTCTAGTTTAAATATCTTACTGACAGATTTCCTCAAGAAAGCAAAAATTAACCACCAAGAAAGATACGATTATTTATCTGCTTGACAGCTAAAGCAAGAAGAGATGCCATTTAACAGATTGACCAGCATGGAAGGTAATAACATAAGCAAAGAGGTGATTGTTGCATGGTATGCATGACTTTATTCATTAGCAAAACTATTGTTTCAAATGCAAAAAAAAAAAAAAATCCGCAATGTTAAATATGGGTACATAGAAAATTTAAGTAAGTAAAATCAATGACAAAGTTTCAAGATGAAACCCAGTAGGATAGAAGATAAGTTTAAATGTGTAGGACAAAGAATAAGAAATATATGTATTTACATAATAATATGCCTTATCATTGACAATAAGTCTAGGATTGTTAGTTCTGTAACTATCCCAGTAAAAAAGACAAGAGTCCCTGATTGCAAAAACTCACTTTCACATAGGAAGTGCTAAAATGGAAGTAACAATTATTTGTTATGGGAGCACAAATGAGGACCAGTTAACATAGACAGGAGTTTCAAAAGACTTTCCAGTAGAAGTGCTGCTGAAAGTGAAATTCACAAATGTTAGTTGTATCTGATAGTTTGGGAGACTGGGAAGTAAAGATGGTTATGTGGGAGGAGAAGGAGAGGATTGTTTTTTCAGACAGATAATCAATGTGCAGTGCTTACTACAAGAACTATCACACAGTAAATTATCTACAAATAGAATTCATTCTTATTACTATAAGGAACATGGAGTAGAAAGATAAACATAGGCATAACACAGAGCATAAGCCTCACTTGTGATTTCGTGGTTTTGAATTCATATCACATGAATCACCTATAAGAATCCAGAAAAAAAAAGCCGCCATATATGAAGTACATACCATGCATCAGATTTTATTATAAATATACCATCTTTTCTAATCATTTTAGCTGCATAAGATAGATACTATCATTATCTCCTGATTTTACAGATAAAGGAACTGAAGGCCTGACAGGATGGAAATCTTGCCAAAGGTCATACAGACATAGGCAGAAAGGCAGGTAGCTAACAATAGAGATCTTGCTACAGAAGATCTGCTCTTAATCTCCATAGTGCTGCCACTACGGCTAAGACTGAGAGAGACAACAAAAACATACGTTTAGAGAATATATTTAGTATTTTAAATTTGACTTTGAACTTAGTAATACTGATAGAAAGGTTTTAGAGTTTCCATACTTTAAATAGAATGAAAGCATAAAAGACATATTTTCTTTTTTTTTCCCCCAGATGTACATCTTTGGGCCAAACATTTCATATGTGACAACTAAACTGCGCATTAAAATACTCTCTGTATTGTACATCCAGTGGATATCGAGTGTAAATTACACACTAGGAGAAAAACATAAGGAGAGTTAGAAGAGTCATCCAACAATGTTTAAGTTACATGTTAAAAAATAAAACAAAACAACATAGAGACATTTGATTATAATGGTAAATGTGATCAGATACAACTTACAGTGATCAACAGAACTTGTACATGAAGCTCAGATTAGTTGTGACATATTTACATTTTATCATGACCAAATCTTCATAGAAAGACATGAAATAAATTATTAAACTTAAATATTCACCTTTGAAAAAAGAAATCTTAGACATAAGAACAAATCATAATTTGTGTTGAATCATAACACATCATAGGTGTAATCCGCCCACATGAGAAAATTTAGTCTTGGGTATAGAATAAAACTGCGAAATAAAAAAGGAACATGGGATGGTAGAACAATTTTTTTAAAGATGTTTTAAAGTCTATCACGAAACTGCCAAAACAATAAAATAAACAGTTGAATGGCAAAGGCCAACAGAGCACTGGTAATATCAATTACTAATTTATAGAGCAAACTCTACATAAATTAGTTTGCTGTCTCTAGTACTCACTGTTTATTGCTACCTGGCTGTGATGCCACTCTATTCAAATGAGATATATTTAAATTTTATGTAAAATTGAATAAAATTCAGCGATGAAAAACCATACAATAACAACTTTCATCCTGCTAGGACTAACTGATGACCCTAAACTTCAAATTCCAGTTTTTATGTTTGTATTTTTCACTTACATATTGAGTATCACTGGGAATCTGACCATCATAACCCTCACTTTAGTGGACTTCCACCTTAAAACACCCATGTACTTTTTCCTACAGAATTTTGCCTTATTAGAAATTTTATTTACATCTGCTTGCGTCCCTAGATATTTATACAACATAGCAACAGGTGACAGGTCAATTACATATACCGCTTGTCTCATTCAAGCTTTTTTTACAGACGTCTTTGGAGTAACAGAATTTTTTTTCTTGGCTGTCATGTCCTATGACCGCTATGTGGCCATCTGCAAACCCCTGCATTATGTGACCATCATGAGCAGCAGAGTCTGCAAGAGGCTTGTCCTCTGTTGTTGGACGGCTGGCTTGCTGATCATATTGCCACCACTTACTTTTTTTATAAATTTAAAATTCTGTGACTCAAATGTCATTGATTATTATTACTGTGAAGCGTCTCCTGTCCTGAAGATTTCATGCTCAGACACGTGGCTCATAGAGCAGCTGGTTATTGTCTGTGCTGTGCTGACCTTCATTCTGACGCTTGTGTGTGTTGTTCTGTCCTACACACACATCATCAAGACCATTCTAAAATTCCCCTCTGCCCAACAAAGGAAAAGGGCCTTTTCTACCTGTTCTTCTCACATGATTGTGGTTTCCATCACCTACGGAAGCTGCATCTTTATCTACATCAAGCCTTCAGCAAAGGAATCGGTGGCTATGAATAAGGGTGTGACAGTGCTAATGACATCCATTGCTCCTATGTTGAACCCATTCATTTACACTCTTAGAAACAAACAAGTGAGACAAGCCTTCAGTGATTTCTTAAAAAAAATTGCATTGGCCTTAAAGAAATAAGAGAATATTTAGTACAGAAATCAAATATCAAGCTAACCATAAACCATGAAGCTATAAATCTCTTTGTCTCTTTTTGATCTGATCTTTATTTGGTTTAACTTTCTCAAACATTTATTGTACCCAGAATGAACACACTCCATAGCATGAGCTCATTTCTTTAATCCCCCTGCAAGCAAACCTCTTTGAGGGTAAGTTCCCAATCAGAAGAGATGATAATAATTTTCCAGTAAATGTAAGCCTGGTTTTACTTCTAATCTACAAAGCTGAAATGAAGAAGAAGAAAACAAAAAGCAAATCAAACAAGGAAATAAATAGCTTATTTTATATTTTCTTGGACTTGAAAGAAAGTAATTGATTTAAAGTATTCTTCCAATCTTCCAATCTAAATGTTGCTTTAAATTTTAATTGATTAAATTAAGGTTTATTGAGAGTCGTTCTTGGAAGGCCAAGTTCCAGGTAGGGATATTGTTTCCAAAGATTTTTTTTTTAATTGGTAATATCCTTGAACTTATTTAGCTCACTAATCTTATATTACTAGAAGTTTTTTAGAGCACCAGCAGCAAGAATTAGCATGATAAAGTTGAAAAGTGAAGGAAATAAAAATTAATACATACCCAAATAAATGTGTTTTAAATGGCAGTAGAATTTATTACCTAGGATTCTGGAGTTTATTTATAAATACACACAAACACACACACAAAATGCTGAAAATTAAAAGATTCATAGATTATACAGAATAAATAATATCTTAAATAAGTGTGAGGGAAAGTCCTTTTCTAAAAGGATATGAAATTATAAGTACAACGTCAAAATGTTAATTGCAGTTGAGAAATTAAAGATTATTAACATTGTCAAAAAATATTTAATTGCTAAAATAGATTATGACTATCTAAATTTAAAATGTAGTTAAATTTACAACAAGTTTTATGTATTATGGAAACAAAATTTTGAAAGAAATCAAGGAAATCAAGGCAATAATATAGATGAAATTCTAAGATAATTGAAATAAAGTCCAAATGAAAAGTTATAATAAAAGTAATAGTTAAATTTTCCATAAAATAAATGGCTTATAGATTAGAAGACTACCAAAGGTCTATCAATTTTTCTCAAAAGAGCTCATAAAACTACTAAATAAATTTTCATATTGATAAGTGTTCTCCCACCTATTTGGGATGCAACTCTAATGACCATCCCTTGGACTCTCTCCTGGTATTGTCAGCATTTTGCACTTACTCTTGCTTCTGTGAAAAAGAAAGAAAAAAAAATGTTCCTTCCCTCATTCTTCCACTCCAAATTTCTTTTACATCTCAATTTTAATGTCATTTTTACATTAAAATGACCACTTCTTCCTCCCCCTACCACACGAATATACGAACCAAGCCTGGAGAACTTTATCCTACTCACTGTTTTGACCTAAGCTTTCTCTTTTATAGTACCAATATCACTAAAATTTTGCTTATATTGTTCATCTAAAATCTCCTATAAAAGAAAAACTTTATATTTATGTATACCTGAGTGTATATTATTGCCTTCAAATAAATTGAATGAAAAAGCTTCACAATCCCTAAAAAAAGATCATAAATACTTATTGAAGAAAAATGTTAATTTATGACATGAAAAAAATAATTGTAAAAAAATCAAATGGATAAAATATGCTATATATTTTTGAAGGATTTTATATAAAGATTGAACTATCTTACTACATTTTTTTCTGGCTTTATTGAAATATAATAGATAATTAGTTGCTCATATTTACATTGTACAATGAGTCTCTTCAATTATAGTAGGCATACAATAATAAATTAGTTTCAGTTGTATACCAGAGTCTTTTCAATTATAGTTGGCATACAATAATAAATTAGTTTTCAGTTATATAGCATAGTGATTAGAGATCTATGTAATTCACAAAGTGATCGTCCCACTAAATCTAGTACCACTCTTCTCCCTTACATATTTATTACCCAATGTTAACTATTTTCCTTATGCTACACTTTGTATCTCTTTGTCTATTTTGTAACTGTACGTTTGTACTTCTTGATCCCTTTGCCTTTTTCACCGTTCTCCCCTAACCCCCGTCCCATCTAGTAGCCCTCAAAATATTCTGTATCTATGGGTTTATTTCCATTTTTATTGTTTATTTTGTTCTTTAGATTCCACATGTACGTGAAATCCTGTGATATTTGTCTGTCTCCATGTCATTCAGCGCAATACCCTCTAGGTCCATCAAGGCAATATCTTTTTCTATCCCCTTCCTTTTAGTCTGTGCATGTCTTTTCATCTGAAGTGAGTCTCTTCTAGGTGGCAAAAAATATATTTTTTCTTATCTATTCAGCCACTCTATCTTTTGGTTGGAGCACTTAATTCTTTTCCATTTGAGATACTTAGAGATAGGGATGTAGTTACTACCATTCCTTGTTCCTATTTTTGATACATATTTTTCCTCTTAAAGAAGTCCCTCCAATATTTCCTATAATACTGACTTCATGTTGATAATTCTTTTAGATTATTTTTGTCTGAGAAGCTCTTTATCTGTCCTTTTACTCTAAATGATAGTTTTTCTGGGTAAAGTATTTTGGGTTGTAGATCCTAGGTTTTCATCACATTGAATATTTTTTTTGCCAAGCCTTTCTGTCCTATATAGTTTATTTTGAGAAATCAGCTGCCAGTCTAATGGGTGCTCCCATGTAGGTAACTAATTGCTTTTCTCTTGTAGCTTTTAAGATTCTCTCTTCATATATAACCTTTGGCATTTTAATTGCAATGTCTTGGTGTGGGCCTCTTTAGGTTCAACATTTTGGAGACTCTCTGAGCTTTCTGGGATTGTATGTCCATTTCCTTCACCAGATTAGGAAAGTTTTCATCATTATCTCTTCAAATAGCTCTTCAACTTCTTGTTCTCCTTCAGGTACCACTATGACTCAGTTGTTTTTACATTTAATTTTGTCCCATAGGCTTCTTAAATTATTATTATAATATTGGCTTCTTTTTTCTTGCCATTCTGATTGAATGTCCTTGGCTTCTCCCATTCTCTATATAGGTGGTTCAATTCTCTTCTTTATCCACCCTGTTGATTCTTTCTAATACACTCTTCATCTCAGACAATGTGTCCTTCATTTCAAACTAGTTCCTTTTTATAATTTCCATTTCCATTTTTATGTTTTTTATCACTTGGTTAAAGTTTTCACTGAATTCATCTACTCTTCCCCTAAGTTCATTGAACATCTTTATAACCAAAGTTTTGAACTCTGCATCTGTTAAATTGTTTGATCCCATTATCCCTGGATCTCTGTTCTGTACTCTCATATGGTTTCTGCTTCTTTGTCTTCCCATTTTAGCTGCCTTTCACTGTCTGTTTCTATGGACTAAGCAAAGCTCCTGAGTCTTCCAGTCTTATTAGCTTGCCTTTGTGTAGTAGGTGTCTAGTGGCACAGTCTTGAGAGGAGTTCAGCTGCAGGCCAAGTTTAGCCCCAGCCTGTGTGCCTCTGGAGCCACCTATTAAGATTTAGCAAGCAACCCACAGATGCTGTGCTTATAGTTGCCTCAAAAGGCCATGCCATAAACCAAGGTCAGCTGCCACCAGTGTGAATCTTGGAGTTGGCTCAGCAAGGAGCATCAGACTCGCCAAATGGATGTAGCTCAAGTGGGCCTGGGAGTTGGGGGAGGCAGAGTTTCAGGGAATCTTCTGGGAAAAGCGACTCTGTTATCCAGTTCGATGAAGTCTCAGCTATGGCTGAGCTGAGTCCTTACACAGATTCAGGGGAGGGCTCAATAGAAGAACGATGGATGCTGCCAGCACTGTCCAGGAGACAACTTCACCTCCGGCCCTCGCTGCGACAACTCAGTGTCCTCCTGTAAGTCCCTGGTACCCCCAGAGCAGCTGACCTGGCACTGGTGCTCAGAGCAAGCAGGACTATTTTACTACATTTTATTTAAATTTTAAGATACCGCAAAAAAAAAAACAAAAGATGTAGTTTACTGAAAGATCAATTTAGACTATCTTTCTCTATAGCTATAATATTATTATCTCAATATACATTTACTTTTATACGTGTATGTATGTATACATGTGTAAAATTATTTACATATTTTAATGGGGTAATGTTTCAAAGAGCACTGTAGCTGTTTTTTATTTTTTCTTTCATAGATTCATAAGCTGAGGTATGGAAAAATTAAATAATAATAGTAAATGTTGGAGCCAGGGTTCAGTTCTATTTCATGGAGTCCAGGTCAATAATTTCCATTGGACGTGGCACTGCTTCTTCAGGATAGCACACATAATCATCAAAATTACCCCAAGGAATATCCCAAGGAAACCTAATTTATTTAAAACACCCAATGTTAAGACCAAGAAATGGCAAGAACATCTTTAACAAATATAGGTTAATAATTTTATGATTGGACAAATTTACTTACTCAAAAAAAAATAGGTTAACTATTTGATATGATAATTTATTATGTTAGAAATTGCAATTCCTTATAGAAATGACATATTGTATTCACTATCTTGCAAAAATATCTAATTTTTAAAATATATAACTGAATAAAGAAAAACTAATACTCTAATATATAGTAATAAGAGGTAAATGTTTCTTAAAAGGCAATCCAGAGTAGAAAGAGTTAAAAATTGGAACAAAGAAATAAAAATGGGTATCAGTATTTTGCTGATTCTCAGGGCAAGATCCGCTAAAGATTTATAGTGAATAGAGGTGAATCATGCTCTGGAATAAAAATTGCAGCCTCCGGGAAATGCCATTTCACTCTGCTTCTGTGAGTTTGAGTATTTAAGATACTTCATATAGGTGGCATCATGCAGCATTTATGACAGGTTTGTTCCACCTGGTATTGTATATTTTCAACACAAAGAACTATGTAGCATTCTTGTAAGTGCAGCTCTATTAGAAATAATTCATTTGTTTTTTTCTGTATAAAATGTCTTATTTTGCCTTCATAATTGATGGATATTTTTGCTGAATAAAGAATTTTAGATTGACAGTTTTTAG